CCCTTGTGACCGCCCGCGTGCGTCAGCCACCACCCAGCACAGCCCTTGCTCCCTGCGTTTCACCATCCCAATACAGCGCTTCGTGGCCCCATAGGGAGCTCCACCGAAGGTCCCAGTGGGACCGCCCGCATGCGTCAACCACCAACCATCACAGCCCTTGCTCCCTGCGTTCCAGTCACTTAGTACAGCTTTTCGTGGCCCCCTGGGGAGCCCACCGAAGGTCCCAGTGGGGCCGCCCACACCGGTAACCACCACCCAGCACAGCCCGTGCTCCCTGCGTGTCGCCCACCCAGCGCAGCGTTTCGTGGCCCCATAGGGAGCTCCACCGAAGGTCCCAGTGGGACCGCCCGCATGCGTCAACCACCACCCAGCGCAGCGTTTCGTGGCCCCATACGGAGCTCCACTGAAGGTCCCAGTGGGACCGCCCGCATGCGTCAGCCACCACCCAGTACAGCGTTTCGTGGCCCCATAGGGAGCTCCACCGATGGTCCCAGTGGGACCGCCCGCATGCGTCAGCCACCACCCAGTACAGCGTTTCGTGGCCCCATAGGGAACTCACCGATGGTCCCACTGGGACCGCCCGAGTGCGTCAGCCACCATCCAGTACATCGTTTCGTGGCCCCACAGGGAGCTCCGCAGAAAAAACCCATTTGCACCGCCCGCGTGCGTCGTCCACCACCCAGTATTCAATTTCGTGGCCCGATTGATTGGGAGCTCCACCAAGCCCCAGTGGCACTGCCCGCATGCGCCCCCCCCACCCGGTAAAGCGTTTCGTGGCCCCGTCGGGAGCTCCAGTGGTCCGCCCGCATGCGACCCCCCACCGGGTCCCCCTCCCAGTGCAGCGTTTCGTGGCCCCATAGGGGCCCCTCATCGGGAGCTCCAGCGAAGGGCACCGCCCGTCTGCGTTCGCCACGTCCAGTACAGCGTCTCGTGGCCCATAGGGAGCCCCACCGAATGCCCCAGTGGCACCGCCCGCATGCGTCTCCCCCACGCATTACGGCACGTCCCTCACGCGCTTCGTGGCCCCATAGGGAGCTCCACCGCAAGCGGCACGCACAACTCGTTATTCACAATTGCATATGCTTGGGTCCTTCGCCAGGATAATTTTCAAGCGTTTTTCAAAGTTTTTCTGATTCTCGCTTTCTCGGGCCAAGAACGACCCAAAAGGGCCCAAGAGTCTCCAAATATTTCCCCAAGACAGCCCAAGAGGCTCCTAGAAGGGATCGAAAACGGCCCAGGAGGGCCCCATGACGGTCCCAGAGGGCCCCCAAACGGCCCAAGAGGCCCCTCGAGGCTCCCAAGAGAGCCCCAAGAGGGCCCCAAGAGGTTCCCCAGAGGGCCCACAGAGGCCTCCAAGAGGGCACCCAGAGGCCCCCAAGAGAGCCCCAAGACGGCCCAAAGCATCCAAGACACTCCAAGACGGCCCAAAAGGGCCCCAAGACGGCCCCAAAGGGTCCCCAAAGGGCCCCCAAAAGACCCCCAAGAAACCCCAGAGACGCCCAGTAACACCATGGCTCCCAACAGCGAGCGGTGATGTGACAAGCTCTTAACAGTAAGGCTCCCCAGAGCGCAGTGACGTAAAAAGTTCTGGACAGCAAGACTCCTAAGAGCGAGCAGCAACGGACAAATCTCTGAACACCAGGGCTCGCAATCGCTGAGCGGTGATGCAACAAGCTCTTGACACCAAGGCCCCCAAGAGCGAAGGGTGCCATGAGCCATCTCGGGCAGGTTCCTGCAGCGCTCTTTCCGTTCCTGTGCCGGCCCAGGCCTAGTGGCCTTCGGCCCATCCCGCCATCGTGCTTGGTTTGCATGTCAGCGGCCTCCTGGATGCATGCGGACATCTCTTGAGAGAACTTTCGTGAGCCTCCAGGAGGCGGTTTTGGGTGTGCCTTGGGGCCCCTCGGCTCTCTCGGGGGCCTCGTGGGGGCCCGATTTGGTCCTCTTAAGGGGCCTCCTGTGACTTCCGGGGGGCCTCTTGGGGGTCTGCTGTCCGGGGCCGCGTTGGGGCGGAGGGCGCGACGTGTCAGTTCGAGCTCCCCCTTCTGCGGGTCCTCTTGGGGCCGTATTGTGCCGTCTTGGGGGCCTCGTGGGTCGTCCTGGGGCTTGGGCCGCCTGGGGGCCCTCTTGGGAGTCGGTTGGTTCATCGTGGGGTGATCTTCCTGGAGTGTCGACAGCCCGAAAACACGAGAAGGCTACAATCATCCAAACAACATATTCGCCAGCGTGGGCCCCACGGTGCGTGATCGCACCGTGGAGGCGAACGCTGTGCGGCGTGAGCTCAGTGGTGTAAGCTGTGCGGCGTAAGCTGTGCGGTGTAAGCTCTGTGGCGCAAGTCATGCCGTGTAAGCTGGTGGGGGAGAACTGGAGGTGGGAACTAGGTGTCGTACGCTACGCGGGGCAGTCTATGCGGCGTAAGCTATGCGGTGTAAACTGTGTTGTGTAAGCTCTGTGGTGCAAGTCCTGTCGTGCAAGCTGGTGGGGGAGAACTGGAGGTGAAAAGCTATGTGTCGTACGCTACGCGGGGTCGTCTGTGCGGTGTAGGCGATGTGGTGCACGCTCCGAACACGGGGCGCCCCCGAGCTGGCACGGGCGGCAGCGTGGCGCGCAACCTCGGCATGCCGACCAAGAGTGCGGGGAGCCCACGCAGCGCCCGGGAGGCGGGGCGGGTGGCAATCCGGCGCCACCTCGGCATCCCCCCCCCAGCGAACGCGGCGCCCACGAGATGGCACTGGCGGCGTCGTGGCGCCACCTCGGCATGCCCCCCAAGCGGGGCGCCCCCGGAGGCGCCCACGAGGCGGCGCAGGTCCGAGACGTGACGAAATTCTGCAATGCCAGACCATCATTTCAAAGAGCCAGGTGAGCGACGCAACAACAACGGGGTCGTCGGCGCCGACATTGGCGCGTAAGCTGCCCGCGTAAGGTTGCGCGTGCGCGCCCTCGTCCCCAATAAAGCGTGCCGCGCGGCCGGCCCGCTCGCTACGTCACCTCGCGTGAGATTATTTGTGATCGTCGCTCAAGGAGAATCCCTGAAGTGCAAGCATTGAAATCAATGATTTTTGCCTCTCGTGGCCCTCCCTCTTGGAGGGCCTCTTTCGGGCCCCTCTTGGTGCGTCTTGGGGGCCTCTTTGGCCGTCTGGAGGCCATCTTGGGCGTCTTGGAGCGATCTTCGGGCGACTCGGGGCCCTCCTTGACCGTCCTGGGAGCCTCAGGGGGCCCTCTTGGGCCCGCTTGGCACGTCTGGGGGCTTTTGGAAAAGTCCCCCAGGGTCTCCCAAGGCCGCGCGGGAGCGCCAAAGACTTGACATCGTGGCTGTGAGACCCGTATTGCATGTCTGCAGTAGCCAGTGCAGAGAATTCGGAGGGACCTGAGGACACTCCACTTCGTTCCTCGAGGCATGGTGCCGGATCCCAAGAGCCATGCGAGTAGTTGTGGCAATGCCTGGGTCGCCAGCGCAGGTGCCTCTCCCCGTCACTCTAGACCACCGAGTGGGGATTTTTAGTAGCAAGCCTGTTTGGGTACAGACGGCGAGTATGGCGATATGTCCGATCTCTATGTCTGGGGTGCGGGGTGTTAGCGTCAGATCGAGCATCATCAACATTTTGTTCTGCTCTCGGTGCAGATCGGACAGGGGCAACAAGTCACATCACATCTCACATCTGTTGGTATTAGCTTGCGCGCCCTTGCGTCTGCGAAGGTTGTCAAGGTCACCCGGGTGTTCCGGGTGCTTCGCCACTCTGGGCTGGGGGAGCTGCAGCGGATGGTGACGCAGGTTTTAGGCTCTCTGAGATCCCTCGTCTGGTGCTTCGTGTTGCTCGCGTTCATCACGTACGTCTTTGCCATTTTCTTTGTGTACAGTCTCTGCGACCTCCCAAGCGTGGACGAGGAGCACCTGGAAGAGATATTGGCATTCTTTGGCTCGGTGTCGCAAACTATGCTCACGCTGTTACAGGCCACGACCGGCGGGATTGACTGGCGTGACGTCCATGCTGTGCTCTCCGAAGCAGGCAGTCTTGTAGCCTTCTGCTTCGTCTTGTACGTCCTTTTCTTCGTGATCGCGGTTTGGAATGCACAGGGTCGGCGCCCAATTGCCCAACCCCGTAGGCGTATCAACGGACGACAAGCGGGGCTCTTCAATCATGGCCTCTTAGCTAACATTATTATCGTATGTTTATCTGAGTTTTGCCCGCCGCCTCCCCCCCACCCGCATACTTAAATGTCGGCGGCTCTGCTGCTACGACGACGACTACTACTACTACTGCTACTGCTACAACTACTACTACTATAATAGTAGTAGTAGTAGTAGTAGTAGTAGTAGTAGTAGTAGTTGTAGTAGTAGTAGTAGTAGTAGTAGTAGTAGTAGTAGAAGTAGTGGTAGAAGCAGTAGTAGTAGTGGTAGTAGTAGTAGTAGTAGTAGTAGTAGTAGTAGTAGTAGTAGTAGTAGTACTAGTAGTAGTAGTCTAGTAGTAGTAGTAGTAGTAGTAGTAGTAGTAGTAGTAGTAGTAGTAGTCGTATTAGTAGTAGTAGTAGTAGTGGTAGTGGTAGTGGTAGTAGTGGTAGTGGTAGTGGTAGTGGTAGTGGTAGTAGTGGTAGTGGTAGTGGTAGTAGTAGTAGTAGTAGTAGTAGTAGTAGTAGTAGTAGTAGTAGTAGTAGTAGTAGTAGTAGTAGTAGTAGTAGTAGTAGTAGTAGTAGTAGTAGTAGTAGTAGTAGTAGTAGTAGTAGTAGTAGTAGTAGTAGTAGTAGTAGTAGTAGTAGTAGTAGTAGTAGTAGTAGTAGTAGTAGTAGTAGTTAGTAGTAGTAGTAGTAGTAGTAGTAGTAGTAGTAGTAGTAGTAGTAGTAGTAGTAGTAGTAGTAGTAGTAGTAGTAGTAGTAGTAGTTAGTAGTAGTAGTAGTAGTAGTAGAGTAGGTAGTAGTAGTAGTAGTAGTAGTAGTAGTAGTAGTAGTAGTAGTAGTAGTAGTAGTAGTAGTAGTAGTAGTAGTAGTAGTAGTAGTAGTAGTAGTAGTAGTAGTAGTAGTAGTAGTAAGTAGTAGTAGTAGTAGTAGTAGTAGTAGTAGTAGTAGTAGTAGTAGTAGTAGTAGTAGTAGTGTAGTCAGTAGTAGTAGTAGTAGCAGTAGTAGTAGTAGTAGTAGTAGTATCTAAAGGCTGCTGCCTCTGCCGCCGACCCTAGAGAAGTTCAGGGAGGCTAATTTGCTTAGTGCGTTTGGCTGACCGCGTCTTGCTTTTCCGTATGCGTGTTTCCGATAAGTCGGACGGGCATCGGCGTCTTGGGGCCACATGCTCGAAAGTTACGTTCGGGTTCCCCCTCTGGGCCCCTTTTGGGGCCGTCCTGTGGCCCTCGTCGGCCGTCTTGTTTTTTGTTTTGCCGCTCTGGAGTCCTCTTGGGTCGTCTAGGAGCCCTCTTGGGGGTTTCTCGGGCCGTATCGGAGGCATAGAAAACTCAACAGGTGAATGTGCTGAAAGTACACGTTTTCCTTAGGGAATGGGACGATGTCTGGTTTTTGGGGCCCTCTTGGAGGGCGTCCTGGACGCATCTTGGGCCGTCTGGATGCCATCTTGGGCGTCTTTGAACGCTCTTTCGGCGACTTGGGGCCTTCTTCGACCGTCTTGGGGGCTTTCTGTGCTTCCCAGAAGCATCCGAGGACAGGCCCATGCGGTGCCGAGATGCACGGTGGCGGATTCGCTTCGTCTTCGCCGGTGCCCCCGGTAAGGTTCCAGAGAAATACGTATACATCGAACAACGAGCACCAATTCCTCAACCCATGGTTCGTTGTCCTCTCTACTCCTCCTCCAGGAGGGAGGAAGAGGAGGAGACAAGAAGGGGGAGGAGGGAGAAGGGAATAATGGGGAGGAGGGAGGAAGAGGAGGTCGGGAGGAATGGAGGGAGGGAGGGAGGGAGGGGGATAGTAAAGGGATGGTAAATGGAGGTCACTACGGTGTCCCCAGTCCTTCTCACACGGCAATGGGGGGGGGGGTCGGCGTGTATGCTTCACTCGCGTCGAAATGGTCTGCAAGAGGGACCGCTGACACGAGTCCTTATTGGACTCGTGTAGGCAGGGCCGTTTCGCCAGACCGCTGGCATGAGTCTTCCATAGACCCGTGTAGGCAGGGCCTGCTCGCAGGACCGCCGACAAGAGTCTTTCATAGACTTCTGTAGGCAGGGCCTGATCATGGGACCGCTGACGCGAGTCCTTCATGGATTTGCGTAGGCAGGGCCTGCACATGGGACCGCTGACACAAATGCAGCCCGCATTCGTGTAGGCAGGGCCTGACAGGGGGACCGCTGACGCGAGTCTGCGCTGGACTCGCGTAGGCAGGGCCATGGCGCGAGAAGTGTATACGAGTTCATTCTCTGTTCTTGCAGAGCATGGCATGCGCTGGGATATGCGGGCACGGGTGGGCCTTCGTGCACTGCTGTACTCTCACCATCCATGCTGTCTTCCTTCTCAAGGTCTTCTTTGGCCGTCCAGTGTCCGTCCTCGGGTGTCAGGGCCTAGCGGCGTCGTCGTCGCCTTCGTGGATAGGACGTTTGTTTGTCTGCGAGTGCAGGCCGTTGAGGTTCGTTTGGGGCTCAGTGTCTGGTTACTCAACGTGTTGCGGATGCATTACTACAGCGGAGGTGCTGGTGTTTTGTTCAATGGCGCTTGTGTTTCTGAGGGTGTGTCTCTAAGGTCATCTCAGGGGTACAAGGGGGGAACGTGATGTTTCTGAGTGTTCCTTGGCATCTCTTCGGGGTATTTTACTAGGATGCTGGGGGTTCCCGAGGGCGTAGCGCGGCGAAGTTTCCGTGGACGTTCGTTTGGAGCTTCTGCTGAAGTCCCCCAAGGGATGTCCGCGCAGGCCATCTTGGAGCCCATGGCTGAAAAAAGAAGGCGGCGGCAAGTCCCGTCCCCTCTCGGAGGCTCAAGAAGCGCCTCTTAGGCCTCGCTTGGGCCGCTCTTGGAGCGCTCTTGGGCGCTCTTGGGGCCGTCTTGGGGACCTCTTGGGCCTCTCTTGGGGCTATATTGGGTAACCCTCGGGTCACTTGAGGCCTCGAGAGCGCATCGGAAGCGAGAAGGCGAGCAGGCAACACATATTGGTTCTCGTTAGGTTTTGGGGTCTTTTTTGGCCTCTTGGGAAGGTCTTGGAGGGCTCCAAGGACATTTCAAAGCGTCTTGGGGTCGTCTTCAAGCTTCTTGGATGCACGTCGGAGGGTAACTTCAGCGATCTTGAGCTATCTTTGGCCACCTGGGAGGCCACCTTGGGCTCTCTGGGGTTCTCTTGGAGCCATATTGCGCCATCTTCGACGCTCTAACTACCCGAGCCCCCCCCGTCCAGACCCAGGGGAGGGGGTATGGGGGAGAGGTCAACCTCTCCCCCGAGCAGAGAAGGAGGAGGTTTGCGCAGAGAGAAGGCAAAGATCTCTAAAGCGTCTACGCCCAGAGGGCTGGCGGGATTTCCGTTCGAGTCCCTCTGGGACCTCTCTTGGGGCCGTCCTGGGGCTCTCTTGGGCGTTCGTGGGGGCTTCTTTGGCTGTCTTCTGGCCCTCCTCAACCGTTTTGGAGCTTTACTGGGGGCCTCCAGGGCCGTCTTGGATGTAGTGACAGCCTAAGACGCGAGTGTGTCAAACGTATAAGGTTTTCATCGGGAATGGGACGGCTTTTGCTTCTTAGGGCTCTCTTGAGGCGCTTCCAGGAGGCCTTTTGGTGCGTCTTGGAGGCATCGAGTGCAGTCTGGAGGCCATCTTGGGCGTCTTGGAGCGATCGTTCGGGGACTCAGGCTCTTTGGGACTGTCTTCGGGGCCTCTTGGGAGGCCTCAGGGGCCGTCGTGCAGGTCCAAAGGGAGGATATGCACCTGTCAGAGCAGCACTGCCAGGCTGGCCGGACCTCGTCGTCGTCGTCGTCGTCGTTGTCGTCGATGCCGTCGTCGTCGATGTCGTCGTCGTCGTCGTCGTCGTCGTCGTCGTCGTCGTCGTCGGAATCGTCGTCGGAATCGTCGTCGTCGTCGTCGTCGTCGTGGTCGTCGTCGTCGTCGTCGTCGTCGGTTCGACGATCGAACTGCAGGGAGGTTTGTCGGGCCTGTGGAGGCCGTTTTCGGGCTTCGGGACTCTCCGAAATCGATCCGTGGTGAGAAAATGCGCCAGAGGGCCCCAGGAGGGGCTGGGGACCGATTATGAGCGGACGTCGTCGATCTTGAAAGGTGGAGGGGAGTTATGCTGGGGGTCCAACCTCGAGCCTCGACGGCCGAGGCTCGAGGTTCGACCACTGGAAGGCGTCCGGGGGTCTCTGGAGGTGCAAACATAACCGAAAACCAACAGAAGACTTCGGTTCCCGTATTCGCCCGCTTGATTGGGCGGCGCGGTCCGCCTGAGACATTCTTAGACTTTGCTTGGTTTGGGGCCTGGTTTGTGTTGGTTTAGGTTATGTTTTGCTTGAGACGTTGTCACAATGTGTTGGAGTGGCTCTGATTGGCCTGGTTCGTGCCCTGTTTCGCTTGACGCGTTCTCGCAAATTGCGTCGTTTGATTCTGGTTTGGTTTGGTCGGGGCACGGTCTCGCTAGAGACGCTCAGTGTCGCTTCGTACGTCTCCGCAACTTGCGTAGTTTAGCCGTGGTTTGGTTTAGTTTGAGCACGGCTTCGCCTCAGACGTCTTGGCAATTGTTGACGCTTCGCGTAACCCCGCCAGCCCGTTTAGAATCCCTGCCCATGAGAGTTGACGGGAAGTGGCAAGCAAGGTTACATATAGTTAACCAACATGGGGCAAGGAAAGGAGGGTGGTCAGGGTGTTGGAGCGCTCTCTGAGCTCTTTTGGAGGGTCTTGGTGCCCTCTTGGGGCTCTTGGGGGGGGTATTGGTGCCCTCTTGAGGCCCTCGTGGGGCTCTCTTGGGGGCCTCTTGGGAGCCTCGGAGGGCCTCTTTGGGCAATCTTGGAGGCTATCGATCTAAAGAGAGGGGGTACCCTAGAATGGTTCCACGCGTTGCGGAAACATTCCCGCTGCGAAGCTTGCTGTTCTTGCGTTGAGTAGTTTTGGTGGTGCCGAGAGGGGATCGAGGGGGTGTCTCCGAGGTCATATCTGGGAT